TGGGCCATTTCCTGCTGTCAGGGGATCGGCTGTAGGTCAGAACACAACTTACAGGGAGTGGAAGGAGCAAAACAAAGACTGAGCCTCAAATCCCTAGGCTGCAGGCCACATGTCTCAGTTGCCTCATCTGTGTCATGGGAAGATGCATGGTGACCTGGCAGAATTGAAGTAAACCTGGGGACAGTTGTTACAACTCTGAGCAACTCCTTTATCCCTTTACACTACCCCCTCCCATGCCTCAGTTTCTCAGGGAGGTGGCAGGGCACTAGAAAGAACCTTGGGCCTGTAAGATTAACAGAAGTTGGGATGTGTCCTCATGGAGGGAGAGAGAGCTAACTTATGCTAAGAGGATAAAGCAACACTATTGATATATTGACAGCCCACCCATGTTCTAGCTCAGGTGTGACCTTGGGCACATTATTTCCCCTCTCTGGCCTTCAATATACCCATCTATAGTATAAAGGAATTGAATAAGAAACTATCTGAGGTCCTTCTAGGCATAAAAATGCTAAATTTTTTTTTAGTTCTAAGGGCATATTTATTTTATTTTAAAGATGTGGGTACAAGCCAGGACTAGGTACATAAGTGGTCTACATGCAGGTGACATTTGGGTCTCCCACTGGTCCTCACTTGCCCTAAGATTTTTTTGATGATTAAGAAGGATGCAGCTCTCAGTCTGCCCTAGACCCAAACCTCATGTTTCAGTCTCTCCATCTGTAAATTGGGAAGAATGATGCTGTTATTGGTATATATATATACCTGGCCTGGAGATCTCCAGTCTGTCCAGGGAGCCCTCCAGTCATTCCATCCTCAAGTCAGGACTCAGAACCTCACTGCCTAGTACCTCAGCCCAAGGTGAGCCCTAGGAATCTCCATGGCAACAAACTGGTTATGAACGGGGCTGCAGTTGCCATGGTGACAGTCTGCGCACTCGCGTGCTCTTTCTCTCTCTCTCTTTTTCTCATGCCCCTCCTCTTCCCTCCCCTCTTCTCAATGAAGCAGAGCAATCTTCAGGCCTTAGCTCTCCAGGTGGGATGGGGTGGGGGTTGGGTACAGTGAGAAGGGGGTCCAGATTGGGAAAGAGGGAAGATTGACTGAGTCTGCAGAGGAATGGAAGACTGTTGGGGTGCTGTTGCCATGGTGATTGGGCTGCAGCCTGTTAATTAAGCCCCCGGTTGCCACGGAGACGGTGGTGGTTGACGTGCTCCGCAGCAAACCCTGTGTGAGTGGGGTGTGCTGTGTGCTGGACTCATCAATTCACTGCTAAGGTTTTGGGTGTGAGGACGAGGCATGCAGGTAGGGATGAAGGGGCAGGAGGGAGTTCAGAGCTTTGGTTTGGTGAGGCCAGAGCCGGGGTGAATGGGTTAGGTTATAGGGGTAAAGCAGTGGAGATAGGGATGGATAGGGATTGAGCTCTAAAGGGGAGCCCTCTGCATGCCTGCTGTGGAGAGAGGACCCAGTCATCTGCTCTAGCCTCCACAAGACAGCCCACCTCATCCTGGTTCAGTGAATGCAGCCCTGTGCTGGAGGTCAGGGAACTGTATTCTAGACCCCAGTCTGTCACCAGTTCACTCCATGAAAAAATTTGTACCTTTCCATTTCTGGACTCCACTTTCATGGTAAGTGGTGAGTAGAAAAAATAATTTATAAAGTCTCTTCCAATTCCCAAATCTTAATACCCAGGAGGCAGCTTCCCTGAGCTTTTTTCTCTCTGAGAAACATATGGTGGGAGGGGATATGAGTTTTAGAGACTCAGAGTTCAGAAATAGGACCCTGCCTAGCTCTGCATCTTCTGTTGCTTTAATGAGAGGGTTTCCCTAGCTTTAGATCTTCCTGGGGCTCTGGGTGGGGATGGGGTGCTGAGTTGGCAGCCAGGCTCCTAGAGCTCAGAGCTGAGGGTTACCTTTTACTGGTCACTGCCAGGCTGGCCATGTAGGAGACACTTGCAATGGGCTTTCTCAAAACCTCACCACAGAGGGCTGACCAGAGCCAGAAGGGCCCAGTCTTCTTGAGAGTGAGAGGTGTCAGTTGAGGGGCTGGGGTCTCCCCTTATGACTGTCTCCTCACTTGGTCTGGGCTCCTCAGGAAGGCATATGTGATTTTAGTCTGAGATGAATAGAGAGAGCAAGAGTTTTCAGAGCAGGAATAAGTGCCATGGATCATATAATACAACCCTTTCATTTTACAGTTTGGATACTGAGACCCACAGAGAGGAACTCGGTTTTGCCCAGAGATACATAGAGAATTTTGGGACAGAAGATGGAATAGAACCACTATCTCCTGAATCCCAGACAGCTCTTGAGATAGGAACTCTGGAGAGGTTGGACAGACAGGTTGCACAGGGAAAGATAAATTGCCCCTGCCTTCACCTGTATTCCCTAGGGGTCTAGGTTTCCCTGTGGGTGGGCTCAGCCCCTGAGTGGCCTGAGCTGGATCACAAATGAAGGAAAATATTCCCCAGTGAAAGTCCCAGGCCTGGGATTGCTGAAAAACCTCAGCATTTACTTCATTCCACAGCTCTTCTCAGACATACTATACGTGTTTTACTATGTTCTGCGTCTCTACAGAGTGGTATACCATAGTGCTGCTGCTGCTGGTGGTGGTGTGTGTGGTGGGTGCCTAAAGATTCTTGAACACTGTCCTTCCCACCTGCTATGTTTTTAATCACTGTCACCAATCCAAACTCATGGCAGATTTTTGTGGTCTTTCTGGGAGAGCCAAGAATACCTATACTCACACCGTGTCTGAGTAGCTAAGTGTTTACCCTAAAGGGTCTGTTGGGTGTCCAGAAAATCAAGTGGCGGTGATACCTTGTTGGAGGTGCCCCTCAGAGGCACCTTGAGTCAACCGCTGAAGACTCCGTTGTTGACCCAATCATTGACGTATGTGTACAAGGGAAGCTGAGAAACCGGCTCTGTCCATGGTGCTGAAAAGTTCTGCCCTCTAGCCGGGTCTCCCAGGAATGACTCTTTAGGCCATCTTGATGGTCTTCTGGGTCCCCAATTAAGATGCAAGCCAGCCGGGCTCGGTGGCTCGGCCTGTAATCCCGCGCCTTGGGAGGCTGAGGTGAGTGGATTGCCTGAGCCCGCGGGTTCGAGACCCGCCTGGGCAAATTGGTGAGACCTCTTCTCTACAATAAATCAAAAAAGTAGCCGGGCATGGTAGTGCGCGCCTGTAATTTCAGCTACTTGGAAGGCTGAGGCGGAAGGATCGCCAGAGCCCCAGCAGGTCGAGGCTGCGGTGGCCTGGAGCGGCCACTGCACTCCAGTCTGGGCGACAGAGTGAGACTCCAACTCAAAAAAAAAAAGCAAGCCAAGAGCAAAAAAAAAGATGCATTCCAGCCCTGCATCTCTGAAGCCAGAGCACAAGAAAAGGAATAAAGCACATCTCCGATCCAGTCCTTGTTCTTATTTTGGGAGCCCAAAATCAGAGGCTACTGAGAGGTTTAGATATGACTGAATCCTTGTCTCTCCTATGGAGGCAAACCAGTTTATAAAGAGTTTCAGGCTGGGCATGGTGGTTCACACCTGTAATCCCAGCACTTTGGGAAGTAGGGTGGAAGTATTGCTTGAACCCAGGAGTTGGTGACCAGTCTGGGCAACATAGTGAGGCCTTGTCTCTACAAAAAAATTAAAAAAACTAGCTGGGTGTGGTGGTGTGTGCCTGTATCCCAGCTACTCTGGAGGCTAATGCAGGAGAATCACTTGAGCCCAGGAGGAGATGTGCTGAGCAGCTGTGATCCAGCAATGCACTCCAGCCTGGGCAACAGAGTGAGACCCTGATTCAAAAAAAAAAGAAAAAAAAAAAAGAGAGAGAGAGATTTTGTTGAGAGGGAGAGTCCTAATCTGGAGTAAAGCTAACTGAATTCTAGACCAGATTCTGCCACTCACTGGTGTTGTGTCCATGGGCATTCATTTTCCCTCTATGGGCTTTAGTTTTCATTCGTAAAATGAAAGCTGTGCATTAGATAAGATCACTGATCCTTCCCCAGCCCTAGAACTCTCCTGGAATTTAGAGGGCCAGCGCTGGGAGTTAATGTGTGTCTGAAGATTATTTTCCCTCAATCTGCTCCTACGCTCAGATGTTTAGATCTTCTAGAGACTCAAAAGGTTCAAACCCCTGATGTCACTTCCTGAGATGTCTCCACCACTGGTTCAAACCTAGACTCTAGGGGTGCTGAGGGGTCCTAGGATGATCAAGCTTGGGGGGATTGGTCTTAGGGGGAGGGAGGAGGAACACAGAGAGCATGTCAGCTCTGGAAGCCTCAGAAAGCAATCCTGGATTAGGGGATTAGACACTACCGCCCCAGGAGAAAATCTGGTCCCAAATTGACAGGCGGCCTCATTCCCCCCTCCCCCACTCTGTCCCTGGCCAGCCTTCGGACCAACCAGCCCTTCCTAGAGGCTGCACCATCCTGGGTGGAAAGTCAGCGCTCCCTGGAACCTCACCGCTGCCTCCTCTCCTCACCATGTCTCATCCCAGATCATTCCACAGGGGTCTCATCTGTGGACTCCAGGGACTTGTCTTGAGGGTGGGATGCTGGGACTTCTGACAGTTTTAGCACAATGAGAGGGTTTCCTGTACCTCCTCAGGCTCCACCCCACCCATTTTAAGACAGGACTTGGTAGACAGTCAGCCAGTGACCCAAATGTCCCTGGGGCAGCACAGTGCTTCAGTCCTGGGCCCTCTTGAGCAGTGGTGTGGGAGAGGGTCTAGTTATCCCTCCCTATTCAGGGCTGGCTGCTCCAGCTTTGCAGACAGACTCCTCAAGGGCCCCCTATTCCATAGCGATTCCTCTGCACCCCCCCACCTCAGGCCCCTTCATCTGCCCCCTGGGGGTTACCTCAGACCCCCAGTCAGGCCGCCGCTGCGGGGCCGCCTCCCCGCGG